TCGGTGAAGGGCCATAATAATCATATACATTGTATATTGACAAAATAAAAATTAAAAAAAAAAAATTATATTCTACCTATATGACATTCTGTTGGCTCAGATCCATTTTCCCACTATTTCTACTGAGAAATCTTGCTAGGTAAAGGCTTTCTGAGAGACTTGCTAAAAACCTGAATAGAATCTTCTATGGAAATATCTTCTCTTGATGTGTTATATATAGAACAGACTGTCACAGTTTGGAAACTGGTGGTTCCAATCCTGCCTATATGAGTAAACAGTCATAATGACCTCTAAAGTATCATTCGGTCTTTTGTGATATTAGGATCATTCATTGATATCTGTCAATTCAGAAAGGCTATTTAAATGCATAAATTCTTCCAATGAGGAGACATTTTAATGTCAGAGAAAACAGAAAAACATAACTGAAACTTTTAACTGTGTATCTCCTCTGCCAAAAGATTACAATAATATACAATGATAACATCCCACTGACACCAGGCTTATGGAGGTAAAATATGCTTTTGAAAAATAAATAGGAAGGTAATGCCCAGTGAAGAACTCTATCACATTCTGACCGTAGCCATAATATTTATAGAAATGATGAGGAACGTTCTACCGCAAAATGTCTTTTTATATTGTATATTGACAGAAGAAAAACCTGAAGGAGAAGAAGCCAGTTTATCTATATTGGTTTCACAGATATAAAGAAAAGCAACATTTCTAAAAGATCAACACACAAACAAGGTATTTATGCCAGTTAACAATATCATCTTGACAGCTGAACCACATAATAGATAAATATTTTCACAGAACTCGACTCAATTTCAAGATTATCATATACTTTTACATGAAGTACTACTTTTTCTATGTTCAACAACAAATACAGTATAACTAATAGAAGACTGATTTCTCCCCAACTTCCAAAGCTGTGAATCAATAAACTTGCCAGTGACCTATATCAGATAAGTACTTATTTGACTTCTGGTGCAAGGCAGTAAACTATAGCTAAATTTTAAACACAGTATTTTCACTATGAAACAATGCCTTATTTTTATCTCTTATAAATTGGACTGTCATAGGATCTTATTTTTCCTTTTTTGGGATTAAATTTAAAGTGTAAGAATAACTTGCTTGTACTTAAGGCAACACGGTACTCCGAATCAATCAAATGAACTTCAAACAAATTTGGTCTTCTCAATAGTTTGCAGGAACATAAAGGAGGAGTGAAACATCATATTCTAACAATACCGTTGTCTTCTTCTACTAAGTACTCTAAAACGGAACAACACCCCAGCACTGTACAGGAACAAAGGACACCCAAACTATAATGACAGTGAAATTTTACAATAAATACTATAGTGAAAATCAAAATGCATAATTTACGTCAAAAAATAATTGGGAGGCTCTCTGTTATCCTTAACTATGTAGTATGTTGCATTATTTTGGCTATGTAAAGGAATTTCAAGAAATTAAAAAACAGAGGTATAGCACATAGGGAGGACATCATAATCTACATAGGCATAAAGTAGGCCATCCTTTATGTAAGCGGATGAAGAAAACCTAGGCAGCTTTAAAGAATTAGTAGCTGAAGGAAACTGCTCTATTAAGAAACTTGATAATACATCCATTAATTATGCCCATCAACCACAGTGCAAAGCAACAAGAATACTTTTTTCAACCCAAAGTGTTCTTGTTAGGGTTTCCAATGCCAGGGAAATAATTAGGGTTCATTTTTCAGAATAGTCAATATTTTCAGGTTTTTACAGGGTACATAACCTTTTACAAAAAGGTCATCACAAACCACCAAATGTAAATAAAAACTTTAGCTTTTTCAACCATGAGTGGCCAAATATAGCATGAGTTCAAACAAGTAAAGTTAAAGAATTTTTATCTCCATCAACAATTTGCTGTTCAAATATCTTTTTTTTTTTTTTCCTTTTTGTCTTTTTTTCGTGACCGGCAACGGGATTGCAACCCTCAGTGTCGCGCCCGCACTGCGCTCAACCAGTGAGCGGACTGGTCTCTATATGGGATCCGAACCCTCGGCGGGAGCGCCGCCGCGCTCCCAAGCACCGCATTCTACCGAGTGCGCCACCGGGCCAGCCCCAAATATCTTGATAAATATAGCTAAATTGGCCAATTATCAACATTGTCTGTTTCTGTGAGTAAACTATGTACTGGATCTATAGACCTAGATGGCCAGAATGGGTAAATGAGATGCTAAGACCAAAAAAAGAAAAAAAAAAAAATAGCCATTGCTTCAAACAGTAGAACAGGAGCATTAATAAGTATATTCTCTGGGCCCAAATGTTTGAGAATAAATGCATCCCATTAATTTGATTTCAATTCTCTTAAGTAGTTTGAAGAAATAAAAGAATCATGTTTACTCAAAGATTTAAACATCAAAGAACAGAATAGCATATAATTACATATTCTTATCCATATTGATTTATACAAGATCAGGATATATTTACATGTGACTAAAAGACTAAAGACTTGGTTAACGTTTAAGAATAAATTGTACTAAGATGCCTCCATAAATGGGAAAAATGCACATTTCAATTAATACAAATATAGGGGATTGAGTGTGGGACATGGGGAATAATTGCAAATTGTGATAATGGGCATACTGCCGGTATTGATCTGGCCATCACATCTTGGGCATGAGTGGTGACAGTCAGCTTTGTACCCTATGAATATTCATAACCAATAAAAAAAATACAAATATATACTGAACACCTATAATGCAAGATATAGTATGTGATACATAAAGCCTTACAAGTCTTATTGTCAAAGCTTCAATGCCAAAGTTCATGCATTGATTTCTTAATTTAGACTGAGATAACTTTTTATTAGATTTATTTCTTGGAAAACGTTACCAAGGGAAATAGAAATTCCTTTTATTACAGTCTATGATAAGAAGTCAGGTAACAATGGCTGAAGGAATCTAGCAATCTTGTGATTCTAATGGCTTATGGAAAAACTAAAGTTATGCCTGTAGAAATACAAAATAAAGACTATAACCTCTTTGAATCAACTCATCAGGCTGAATCAGACTGGTGTTTGCTTAAATTGATAAACCACTTCACACAGCCTAAAGGTAATCAAAGCAGACTATCTGTAATTCTGACACATAAACCATTTACCATTTTTAACTTCCATTTTAAGAAGTAATATTAGAATAAGGTATAAAATTAAAAATTTATTCAGCAAAATTTGTCCAATCGCTTCCCATCACATTTAGAATAAAATACAAAGACACATATCTCTATGTGATCTGGTCTCAGGCTACTTTCTGCCATCACCTGTCATCTCTCTACCTCACAATCCCTGCACTCCAGGCTAGCAGCCTTCTTGCTGGTCCTGGAACATATCAGGTGCATTCAGGGCATTTATTGCTTCCTTTGCCTGGAACTCTCTTCCCCCGGATATCTTCATTCAGATCTCCGTTCAAATATTATCTCCTCAGGAAAAAGTTCACAACCACCGTATCAAATGCAGCACTGTCATTGCCCTTTATCTAACAATTTTTTAATAATACCTTCTTAATAGCAATTTTTAAAATAGCACCTGGCATTATATTGGTTTTCCATTTTCTCCAACTCACCCCACTAGAATGGCCAGGGACTTTTTTTTTTTTTGTTCACTGATGAATCACCAGTGCCAAGAACAGTGCCTGGCACATAAGTAGGGGCTCAGTCAATATCTGGCAGATGAAAAAAAGAATGAAAATCCACTATATCCCCAAATTTTGGGTTGTGTGTTATATGTCAGGAACTCAGCTAAACTCTAGAGTTGCAGATGAGCTACTACAGTCCCCACTCTTAAGAGGTAAAGACAAAAATATATTAACAAAATGTTATAGTTTGATTATACAGAAAGAGTAATATGAAGGGTCTTCAAAAAGTTCATGGAAAGAATTTGTATTATCTTTTCCATTTTTCCACAAATTTCATGGAATACCCTGAGATATAGAGTTATTAGAAGGGGGAGCAAAGTTAAAAGTGGAGTGATCAATTCTACCTAAGAGGTAGAGAAAATCTTTCCAGGTTTTATAGAAATAATGCTTTTGCAGAATCCTGAAAGCTAAGTTGGTATTTGTCAGATGGGTGTTCCAAGACAAACATAGGTACACTTTGGGAAACTACAAGCACCAAAATTTACTGGAAGCATCATATGTGCTTATATACACGTATAGTACGTATGTAATGGCATAAGCATGGTATGTATGTCTTGAGGGTAGGTAGGAAATATAAAAGCAGAATGTGGGAATGCCCATGCTTAGAATTTAGGGTTTTTGCCCACAGATAACAGGGATATCCACAGATAATAGAGAGGTACCAGATTATTCCTACACTTGAGAAGCAGCACCTAAACAGAATTATAGGACTGAGACACTGGGGTGGGGAAAGCACACTGGAAGACAGAGAAAACCATATAGGAAAAAAGAGAGTGATAATAGGGATCTCGATGTTAGGCAGTATCAATGGGAATACCAGGGAAAGGACAGAGAAATGCTTGTAGGATACCAAGATTTAAGGGATAGAGCAGAGAAAAGGAGCTCATTATAGAACGCTAAAAATAATGTGATGAAGGGAAGGAGCATATGATGGAAAGGGTGGGGCTGTAGATGTGTTTCTAGATGGTAATAATGTATAAAGATCATACAATATCTGGACTAAAAACAGTCCACTATGTCTCATAATTAGATCACTGATGACCTCAACTAAATGTGTTCTCAGTAGTAGAGACAGACTACATCAAATTAAAAAGAGAGGGAGAGGCAAGTAATAGAGAACAATCTTCATAATTTTTTGAATTAATAGCATTTTCTTTCTAAAATTCTGGAAGATTAATATTAAAGAATTTGCAACTTCACTTCCAGTGCTATTAGTATTACCTTTTTCATACAAATACATGTATGTTTTAATATTTTTAGGTTATGTAAGCATTAAGAGTAAATCAACATACAGCTAAATTAAGTACAAAATATTCCTTACCTGAATTTCTAAAATCATTCTGTCAATCTCATCTTGTTGGCTGTTTATTATCTAAAAGACAGGAAATAAATCAGTCTGAATTAAATCATTTTTCCATTGCTTTTAAAAGTACCAATATCTCAAGAAAACAACAAAAAAGAGAATTATAAATTTTTAAAGGGTCTTTTTTAACAAAAATATTCATACCAAGAATCCTTTAAATAGCAATATGAATTGGATGACACATATATAAAACTGCAAAAGTCTTCCTTTAGTTCTTGATAAAATTTTTCTCTAATTTATGCAATTTATAAAAATAACTTTGAGATGGACTTTGAATAATTTAGGAAGGAAAAACATATCCTTCTGTTTTGACTATTTAAATTATTTAAGTTTGTTTAAATTGCTATTTTCTTTCCAAATAAAAACATTCAAATTAAAAATTCTATGTTATTGAATATTACCAAAAATATAAACCACATAAAATAACTATAAATTATATATACATACACACATATTCATGCAGTATAGATCTCATGTTTATTATTAAAGGTATCTACTGACCTTACTAGCAGTCTCATTTTGTTCTCTGAGATTATCATTTTCATTCTGAAGCTGTTTTGCATCTAACATGGGAAGGCGAATTCCATCTTCAAGGCATTTTTCTACTTTTTGTTGCAAACTATTTTTTAGAGACATAATTATATAAAGAATATAAGTTTAAGCTCTCTTTGCTGATTTTGGTAGATTATTTCAACATAAATGATGTCCCTTTTTATGGTCTATAATATTTTTTAATGAAAAAATTAAGTCCCATAGAAAGTATATGAATATGTATGAGTATCTGTATTTTATACAAATAAGAAGGGTCCATAATTAGCTAGAGGCTGATCATCTTTTCAAAAATAGCAAATCTGAGACCAGAGTCCAGAGTTTCTTAGTATGTGATATCCTTAGGCACCTTCAGCCCCCTTTTGTTACCCAAATATGACCTCTGCAATCTAATCCCTGTTCTCTCCCTCTCCCCTAAAAGCAAAGAGTTCCTTGATTAACATGATTGTGGCAGAGAACCTAAGAATATGGACATAAATCTTTTACCCTTTTACCTATTCTTTCTTTCTTTTTTTTTTTTTTTGTCTTTTTTCGTGTCCGGCAACGGATCGCAACCCTCAGTGTCGCACCCATACCGGACTGGGACCGGCAATGGGATCGCAACCCTCGGTGTCGCACCCGCACCTCGCTCAGCCAGTGAGCGGGAACCGGTCTGTATGTGGGATCCGAACCCTGGCGGGAGCGCCTGCCGCACTCCCAAGCGGCGCACTGTAGCAGTGCGCCACCGGGCCAGCCCAACCCTTTTACCTATTCTAAGCCCAGCAAAAGTTTGCCTGTAAGGATAGTTGTTGCCTAAACGAGCAGAATCACATTGCTCCTCCATTAGTAAGAACAGCAACCTGCTACAGCAATCGACTACATTTATAACTTGATCTAGCAGTTCTTCATGCTATCCATGGCACAGAGTTGCATTATAGAAGAGGAAAAAACAAAAGAAAGCACATTAAAAATAAAAGGGTTATGGGGGGGAAAGGTGCTAGCTTTGATAGAGAAAGAATACTAATATTGGGTTAAAGGAATCATATCATTAACAATAATGACCAAAATCAGCGAGAAACATAGGAATAGTTCTACTTTAGCTTGTAATCACACTCAAGAGTTGCAAAGTACTAAAAGAAAAACTTATAATTTGGGTTTTGATAGTTTCATTATTTTTCTTCTTTCAAGTATTATGGCTATCCCATGCTTTCTCTCTCTTCTAAAAAAAATAATAATAAATGCCATATCTAGATTGTGGACTAAGAACTGACAGTCCTAAATGATACTATAAGAGCTTCAGATATGTTTATCAATAATGGCACCAGAGACTTTTTATGTATTATCAATCATAGTATATTGCTGCTACTTGTCATAAAGTACTTGTTTTTTCAGTCTTCAGTGAAAAATTATTTTTATTTCAGAATAAGTTTTTTCCCAATTTGGTGTCACGATACTACTTTCATGCATTTATAACATTTCAACAAAAATAAAATGCATTAAAATATTAAAGTCATTCAAATTAAAAAAATGAGCCAGTTATGGATAGGGGAAAATGTACTCTGTCATGGCAAAATACCAAATTAGTTTTCTTTCATGTATACATTTTTAGGTTATTTAACATGCTCACTTTAAAAAGTATAAATCTCTTGAATAGCAGAGGTACTTATTGCATTACTAGGGATCCCATCCACATATTTCACTTTAATTTTCACTTTTAATGGAAAGCTTTTCTTAATTTATAAATTACAAAATTCTTAAGTAATCATAAAGCAAGAAGCTTAGAAATATTATTTAAAAACAGATAAATATAATGATATAATTTACAGTCACATATACATCTGAAGTTCTTTTGGAACTTAAGGAATATTAAAACTATAGAGCTAAGGAAAATAAGATATCATCCCACCACTCAAAGTCAAGTGACACCACAGCCATACAAGTATTCAAGAATTACAGGAAAACTTCTTTAGTCCTTTATATCTATCTGAAATCAAGAGAAATTTTCTGGGATGATATCATCTCACACATCAAGATAAAGTTTAAAAATGAAAAATGTTTGCAATGATGCATAGGCTAATTACCCTGAATAGATGAGCACACATTGTATACATGTATTGAAACACAACTCTGAACCCCATAAATATGTACAATGTTTCAATAAAAAAATTTTTTTAAATGAAAAATGTTTTCTGAAATGCACTATACTAAATCTTTCCAACTCAAGAGCACTAGGCTCAGTGTTCTCCAAAAACCTAATAAAAGAGAAAGTCTAAATCAAAGAGAAAATATAAAATCATATAAATATATAACAAAACAATATTCCAATTATTTTCAGGTGTTGCTAATTCTGTTCTTAAAACAACACAGCTTAAATTTATGATCAAAATGCTCTACAAGACAGAATAGATAAATTGTCTCTTCGTTTTATCAATAAAGATAAAAGTAATATGGTTGAATTGGTGAAGATCAGGAAGCTGTTTTGAGACTAGTGAATAAGGAATAAGATGTGATGTTATAAGGAAAATTAAAGAGCAAAAAAAAAGCAGAAAACAGGAGGAAAATAAAGGTAGAATAAAAAATGTATGATTTTTTTGGAGCTGAGATCAGTAACACTGAAGACTGAATTTTCCCAGAAATCAAAAATTTTCTACATTGAAATCCAAGAATAAAAAGTAGATCAGACATATTTATGACTTTGAAAGTAGTAGTAAAGCAATTACATGGAATTAACATGGAATCAGATGGATTTTGATTTAAAAGCCGAGAATACATTGAGTCGTATAATTGATATAGCATAAAGAATGTATTTCTTATATTTAATTTTTTGTTCCTTTGTCTTCCTATTCTTCTGGCTAGTGTTATCTATTTATAGCTGATAATATTCTGCTTTAAGTTTTACAAGAGAATACATGCCTATGCATATAACATAGTTTTCTAGGATTTTTAAGAATCCAGTATTAATTTCCAAACTTAAATACACAAACTAAAAATACTAACGACAAGTGATATTACTGTAATTCTAACTGTATTCATTTAAAAGAGAGGAGTCCCATGAGGCAAGATAGGTGAGTAAATCTAAAAGGTACAAGGAAAAACTGCACGGAAAGGGAAAAGGGAAAATAGGAGTCCATTACTTCACTTTGGCATATCCCATTAAGGAGTACAGTTTAAGTACTTGCTGGTCCCTTTTCAGTTATTCAGAATTTTTACTTTTTTCTTTTTTAAAAAAGTCATCAGATAAAGGGTTTGTGTTAATATTTTCAGTCTTCAATTGAGGTTTTTTATTTGTTTCTTTCTTTTTTACTATTCTCATTTAAAACCTTTGGCAAGATATTGGTATGTTGCTTTAAAATGTTAAATCACAACTGAGAAAACCTCTTTCAATGAAATTATACTTCTGGTTCTTAACAGTACATCTTTAAAATAAAGAGAATAATGATAAAGTAATAATTATAAATTAAGGTATTTTAAGTGAAGGTCTTTATGAAAAACATGAATAACTTAAAAATAATGTAAAAAAATTCTAAAAGTTTTCTTACCTCTGAACGGTAGTTACTAACTCCTTTTCTCTCTTTTTCTGGCATATTAACTGTGCCTCTTTATCTTGACACTGTTTTTTGATCTCTTCAAGCTTTTTTTCTGTATCTATCAAAGTCTCTTGCAAATTTTTATTTTTTTCTTCTAGAACTTGCAGCTAAGGAGAAATTTTCTATTAGAAATTATTGTTGTGTTCTCAAGGATTAATAAACTTATAGCTAAAATCATACCATCTTTATTTAATCTAGAGTACTTAACACTCCATCTCTTCTTTTGGGCAGAAGGAAGTCGGGAGAATGGGATTATGAAGAAAGAGAATAGGGTTAGAAATTTTAGAAGACAGAAAGAGAAAGGTTAATAATCTCATTTAAAATTTTACTTTTGTGATAAAATATATATAACAAAAAACTTACCATCTTACCATCTTAACCATTTTTAAGTGTACAGTATGGTAGTGTTAAGTACATACATTCACACTGCTGTTCAACTAATCTCCAGAACACTTAATCTTGCATAACTGAAACTCTACACCCATTGAACAACTACCCATCCACTCCTCCCCCCATCCCCTGGTGACCACCCTTCTACTTTCTGTCCCTATGATTTTACTACTCTAGGTACCACATATAAGTGAAATCATACAGTGTCTTTTTGTGACTGGCTTATTTCACTTAGCAAAATGTCCTCCAGGTTAATCCATGTTGTTGTGTCAGAATTTCCTTCATTTTTAAGGTTGAATAATATTCCATTGTATGTATATACCACCTTTTATTTATCCATTCATCCATCCATGGACTCTTGGACTACTTCCACTTTTTGGCTATTGTGAATGATGCTGTTAAAAACATAGCGTATAAACATCTTTTCAAGATCCTCAATAGTAGCCATCCTAATGAGTGTAGTATGATCTTATGTTTCTTCATCTATATTACTCTCTGTTCCTGCTCATGCAACCTCCTGTGGTCCTTAAATTCCTTCCTGACTTTAACCTCTCTTTGTTTTACAACTTATAAATTAATATAAAGTAAACAGAGAATGATATGTAGGTCTTAAAGGATGCAAAATAATGACACTCCATGGATTTGATCAATAATTCTGGGGCCGGCCTGGTGGCGCACTGCTACAGTGCGCCGCTTGGGAGCGCGGCGATGCTCCGGCCGAGGGTTCGGATCCCACATACAGACTGGCCGCTCACCGGCAGGGTTGCGATCCGTTGCCGGTCACGAAAAAAGACAAAAAGGGAAAAATAAAAATAAAAAAATAAAAATAATAATAATAATTCTGAACTGGAGGTGATAGGTGACCCTCCCACCCCCAACCCTAAGCCAGGAACATTTGGAAGTGTCTGTAGAAAGTTGTGGTTTGGGAGAGAGGGGAAGAAGCAGTGCTGTTGGCATCTACTAGGTAGAGGCCAGAAATGCTGATGTGGAAATATACATCCTTCAATGCCCAGGGCAGATCCCTGTAACAAAAAATTATCTGCCCCCAAATGTTAATAGTGCTGAGGCTAAGGATCCCTGGGTTAGAAAAACTTTGGGAAAAGACTGAAGAGTAGATTTAATGAATTTATAAATAAAGTTTCGAGAGGGTAGGCATCACCAGAGTTGGTAGAAAGACTGTGAATGAGGTATTGTTAAAAAGGAAAGCAGTTGGAAGAAAAGTGTGAGGAGTGAATGGAGGTCACTGATCAAGGTATTAGGAAGCATTTATGAAAAAGTTAAGAAGAATAAAGAAAATAAGTCAAATACCTAGAAAGACAGCCAACAAAAGATCTTGTTGAGGCTTGGTGAATCCCAGAGAATATTAGGAAAAGCGAGAAATGGGGTGTGTGCATGTGTGTGTACAAGGCAGAGGTTATTACCTCTTAGAGTAGAAGGCTTAAGTGAAAGAGTTACCACACAGGTTCATTAGGAAGGTAATCATATATTAATTGATGAGAAGAAAGATCTATTTGTGCTTAGATGAACAAAGTTTCTGATTAAAGTTAAATCCTAAAAATAGCAATTAAATACATAGATTTAATTTATAATTAACCAAATTTCTAGAGAGTCAGTTTAAAAATAACATGTTTTCATGTCATTTAAAAGATGAGCATTTTATTTCACATTACCTGTAGACTCTGACTCTGCACATCATCTAGAGTTGGAAGATCAGCCAGATACTTTTCCAAGGTCTCAATTCTTCTCTGTTTTTCTTTGTTTTGTTCAGATTCTTTCTGGCATTTCTTTTTCAGGCTATTGATATATCTGTCTCTGGTTTTAAGCTAAAGAAAAAGATTGTGAATCTTCAGCAATTTTAAGTCATCAAAAAAAATAACAAAACCAACATTTCAAACTTAGGCCTCACTGAATTCACCAACAAATTCCAGGTTTTAGTGAAAACCACTACCTACTGAATTCAGACTCACCTTATTTCATCCCAAGATTCACATCTTTCTGCATTCTCATATCACGAAAATCAAGAGTTTTGGGGTTGTCTGCTTTTACAACTGATGGCATCCTATAAATTGCAGTCAACCAGGCGGCAATAATAACGTAGTTTTTATTGCCCGCACATGTACAAATTTGGTCAAGACTGTTCATAACTTTGTGATTTCAGATGAGATGTGGCACGTTCAGGGTGGTAGAGACGTAGATTAACTGTCATTTCAATAGTGTTATGTATATGTTGAACCTATGTGTTGAGTTTCAATGATGTTTAAACTCAAAATGTTACATTATAATTTGGAATTGAAAAAAGTTATTGGGTACCCAAAATAGCACAGAAAAAAAAGCCAAAGGGTATAATTGAAATCAGTGAAGCAAGTATTCATCGTTGGAGGAATGACTCCCATTCCTGTTTTTTGCAAAGCTACATCCAAATGCATGTGAACTTAGGAGGGAAGTACCTAGGTACCTACAAGCAATTAAAGCTGTTTTGTTACTAACAGACTGGATAAGGAATTGCTTATCATGTACTAAAACAATGAAACCAAAGCCAGGGGAACTTACTAAATACCCAGGAACAGATAAGGGACTAAAGAAACCAACTCACACCTCAAGCAAGACTACCATTAAGGCACTATGTGATAATTAAATTTGCAGCATATTTTCTTTCTAAAAACCACAAAATAAAGGTGCCTTACCATTGATGATATTTTAGGATTGATAAAATATGCTAACTGAACACCTACTATAGAACACATAAAATACATGATCTTAGCAAATCCCAATTTGTATAGGCTGAACGTTAGATTCTTATATACAAACTTTTTTCACCTTACCACCTGAAATATACCATCTTTAAATTTGACATCTAATATTTAAAGCTCTCTCATACTTAAGAACAAACTGTATACAAAAATAGTTGCTAAAAAGTAAACTCTAGACTCATATTTACCTTAAATTTCTAGTCTTCCAAATAGTTAATGCTCTTTTAGAAACTTTTAGTACTCTAAAATATTTTATAGGCTTCCCCATATTCATCAGAAAAATAACTGGCAGTAACGAGCAGTATAATGAATTACTCTTTCAAATTTTATTAAAACTAACACTTGTCTACAGTCTAGTTCTTTCATGCCTTAGCTAATCTCTTTCAGGTCTAACATAACAATTTTTATTAAAACAATTTCAGTTGGAAAAATTAATCACATCTCATTTCATCAATGACATTAGGATCCATTTATTACTTTGGGTAAGAAGCAACACTGGTAAACAGACAAACCTAATATTTATTGGGGCTCTCTTAGGATTAAAGGTGAATATGCTGGTATGAGAGTTTAACCTGTGATCTATCAGAATGGAAAAACTCACACACTGTGGGCATTGGTGGTGATCTGAAAGACCATATAATACAATTCCCTTTTTAATTATGAGGCCCAGAGATCTTTAGTGACTTAACAACAAGGCAGAGAGTCAAAGCTGGAATTTGAATCTAGATCGTCTGACTGAAAGTCAGTGTTCTTAATTCTTCCATACAACTCATTATCCAGTTCTCATAAGTTTTCTAGCAACCAGCTGTCCTTGGATTCCCCCTCAGCCAAGCTTGCTCTTGCCTTAGCAAACGACCCTGTAACGTACAGAAGTAAATGTGACTAACCAGCCTATTTTTACCAATGCTCTCTAATTTACATAAAGTTGTTTAAGTGTCTTAACTGTGACACAATGATGCCTCAAAAAGCAGTGATTGGAATAGGTCAGCCAAATTGTGTGCATGCAAAGATTTCCTAGTTTTCTTTTTCTTTTGGTTGGCCAACTGTCTTCTTTACTGTCATGTCAAGTTTGCTGTCCTTGATCCCAAATTTCTGCCAGCTCTCTTCTATTGGACACCATCTCTGTTATTTGTTGATCACATGTTTATCACACATAATCACTGGGTCTTAGGGTTTTTCAACCCTGCTCACTGATGAGTAACTCTTTGTTTTTTGCAGGTTTTTTCTTTCTTTTTTTTTTAAGCTGCCAAGTTTTATGTTGTTTCAAATTAACAGAAGTCATGGAAGTCTGAACTGCAGAAATTACCTCCAGGTAAATGAGGTTATCACTAATAAATCTTCCCTATTCTATTTATAAAAGGTTAAGTTTTTCCTTTCAAAGAGGTATCATATAATACTGAGATCATTCCTACAAGGCAACAGGGCCATGTTTTAGAAGAGGTTTACAAATAGTTGTTTTTCTTTATTTTAGACACAATTATTAGAGCAAAATAGGTGAGTGAGTAAATGTTTTCCTCTAAATTTTTTATAAATCATTATTATTAGAACCAAAGCATGAGCTATAGAGTTAAACTGTCTCAAATTTTACTCATAGCTTTTCAAAAACTTCTAGCTATATGCACCTGGACAAATCACTCAACTCTCAGAGATTCAGTTACCTCAATTTTAAAATGAGCGTATAAGATAACTCATAGGGGTTTTGTGAGGATTAGAATTAAATAAGAAAATGCACTGAATGCACATTAACATGCTGTCTCATACAAGAAAGAGCTCATCAAAGGGTAACTTCTATTATTATAACAGCAAATGTTTTTCTTTCATGGAATAGGTCTTGATCAGGATCACAGAGAGTACATGTAAAAGGGAACAATGGGATCCAATCTCACATGGGCCCAGAGTGCTATTTAGTTGATTTGTTATCAATGAACCTATGTCCTAACCTCTGCACTCCCTTCAAGAACTCAAGTCAACTCCATGTCCTCTGACACAAACTCTATCCTCTTTCTACAGTCACCCCTTTTCCTCAAGTGTCCCTGGTACATACATTTCCATTCTTAATTGCCTCACTCACAGATAATATATTTTTCTTCTTTTCCAAGAGTAACTCTACCATCTTGGCATCTGTTATCAGCCTTTCCCTATATCACTTAGGAACTTGCTCTATCATGTACCCACTCTGACATTTTTGATCTCTCTCTCTCTCTCTCATTGTTCTTTCCCTAGCCTTTTACTTGGGGCTACCTCACTGTTTTTTCTCCCCTCTTGGCAAAAATTACTTGAGATAATTCATTCATTCATTACGCCAGACTCCCTGACCAGTGCTGCATGTGCCACGGTGGCATACTTGGATAGAGTCTCTGCCTTCATGAGGCTTACAGAGAAATATGAAAAATTATTATTAAAAATTAGGGGCCGAGCCCATGGCGCACTCGGGAGAGTGCGGTGCTGGGAGCGCAGCAATGCTCCCGCCACGGGTTTGGATCCTATATAGGAATGGCTGGTGCGCTCACTGGCTGAGCGCTGTGCAGGCGACACCACACCAAGGGTTGCGATCCCCTTACCAGTCACAAAAAAAAAAAAAAAATTAGGTTAAGTGCTGGAAAAATGAACAAAATGCTATAAGAATATTAAAGGAGGGCTAGAGGGAAAACAATATTAAGCTGAGACTTGAAAAAATGAATGAGTGACTATGAAGTGAAAGGAGAAAAAAGCCAAGGATTTACCAGGCAAAAAGGCCATTTTGTGTAAATATCTTTATGCCAAAAACAAAGCCTGACTTGTTTGAGCAACTGTAAGACACAGTGTATCAAGACACAGTTAACCAGAATAAGGTTGGCAAAGTCTGAGGATATATAACTAGGCATCACCTTTCAGGCCATGGGAAGAATTTGATTTTTATTTTAAAGACAGTGGAGAGTGACATGAGCAAGATGGCAAAATATGAAAACCTAAGCTCTCCTTCCCCCACCAACACATCAATTCAACAACCAAAAAAAAAAAAAGTGGACTAATTCCCTTTTAAGAAATCCTAGGCTTCTATATCCTAGATGTATATAAAACCAGCCACATCAAAGCCAGTAAGGAAATTTGAGACACCATCACACCATAATACCTACCACCAGCACAGCATAATATGATCAGGAGGAAACCCACCGTGAAAGGAAATAGTTGGACTGCACATTCAACACCCCAACTTTTCTGGGGGCTGCTCAGATGACTGATTTCTGTCTTTCCTATCCTGGAGCACAAAAGGAACCCATCATGCTCTAGCTGCCTGGGGACCAGTGAAATCAGATCAGTGAGATCAGAGATGGCAATTTAGGCTATCAGTTGCCACAGTCCATCCCCCCAGCTCAGCACCCCGCAAATGCGTAAAAAACTGGAGATCCAAACTTCTCCCCCAAATGGAAAGCATTTAACAGAGCATCCCACAACTCAACTTTTCAGAAGGCTGCCAGAGGGACTATTTTACTTGTCTCAAAGCACTGAAGGGACCTGGCATACTCTTGAAGCCTGGCGTGCTAAGAACAAAGAAAGTGTGTAGGACAAGTACAAAGGTACAAAAAGCCCCCAAAATATCTGGCCAGGCTGATTAAGGAGGATATTTTCCTGTACAAAGCCAGTCCATGAAGATAGAGACAGGTAGCTGTTTTATGTAATTCACAGATACCAACTTAAAGAATCAAGCAAAACTGAACAAACGAGAAGATATGTCCAAAACAAAGAAATGAAATAAATAGCCTGAAACCAAACCTAATAAAACTAAGATATATGATTCACCTAACAGATATTCAAAGTAACTCACATAAAGATGCTCAACAATGTCAGGAGAACAATGAATGAACAAAGTAAAAATTTCAACAAATACAGAAATATTTTGAAATACTAAACAGAAATCTTGGAGCTGAAGAATACCACAAATGAACTGAAAATTTCATTAGAGGGGTTGAAAAGCAGACTAGAGTAAGCAGAAGAAAGGACAGTCAGATTCAAAGAGCTTTAGGAATTATACATACAGTCAGAGGAACAAAATGAATGATGAACTAAAGAAAGCTTAAAGAAGTTATGGGATA